GCTCAGATTATGCAGTGAAGGAAAGTCTGAGAATTTACCTACCCAGGCTCGAGCTTCAAAAAATACTTTTTGAAAATCAATTTATTTGTGGTTTATTTAAATACACTGTCAGTAGCTCAGACCATATATCGTCAAATAATAGTTTGATTAATAAATAATTAGCCTAACCAGCTCAACAAGTACCTCCATGAAACAGAGTCCTTCCTGAGAAGCTGATAGTCGCTGAGTTAATCATAAAATTCCCCGCCTTTACGGAATCAGAAGGTTCATTACCATGTTCACAAGAGCTCGCTATCGGTCCCTGACCTGAGCTAGATAAATCCAATCCACGCACTCTAAACCTATTTCCATAACATCAGTTTTAAAATTGTCTTCCCGTATGCCCAGGTCTTTCGAGTGGTCTCATCTCTTCAGTCTTTCGAACCAAAATTTTTGTACGCATTTATCACATCTCCATGCACGCTACATACTCCGCCCATCTCATCCTTTTCGATATGACCATTTTATAATATCTGGTAAAAATTACAAATTGTGTCTCTCCACGTTTTGGCAGAATGCTTCGGTCTGGACCAGGACGTAGGTTCAACTGTGAAGTCGAGGAGGTCAGGATTGTCTTTATATGTAGCTCGGACGGAAAGAAAGAATCGCAGTGAGCCATAGCAGGAAACCTCTAAGTGAGGACTATTTGCAAGACACGTAAGGAAATGTAAAAATAGGAATATCTCTCTTACGACATAGGGATCAAGTGTCGTTGAGTTTTTTTATCTTTCAAAGTGAAGGGAGTAAATAAACTGACAGTAACTAATAACAATTTAGCAAATAATTTCGAGGCCTTGGTCACAAATGGTCTCGGACCAGATGTGGCCCGCAGGCCGCCAGTTTTAAAAATCATACCCTTGAATTGTCCCTTCCCTGTAAAAAACAATCATCAACAAATTAAGTACTGACGATATATGTGACGTAGTCCTAATGTGCATCCGCCCAAGAACCAAAGTTACATCAGTATAATATAAAAACTAGGCAAAAGTTAAAGACTATTGTCTTCTTGGATGTTGACGGTAGGACCTTCCCAACGTTTCAGAGGTGCTTGCTGTTTACAACATCAGGGCGATGAGCGCTATCATTTCATAATCAGTAGCCAAATACAGAAAGTAGCCTACAGCTACCACATTAGTCTTCTTCCTCAGCATCCTTTATTATCCAGCATTTCAATCCGTGTGAGCGGAAAGGAGCAGACTCCTTAAGAAGCTGTTGGTCGGTCAGGACGGGAAGACTGGACCTGAAGCATCAACGCCGATTTCACAACAGCCCATCACTGGACCACATTCTGAGACATCTGAATCCACTACACAATCTCACACACAGTTTCTTTAAGATTCACTTCAATATACTTCCATCTATCCCTAGATCTTACAAGTGGTTTATTTCCTTCTTGTATCATTCACCTCACGAACGAAATGAGTGGCTCTGGAAACAACCAAACACAAGCCAAGAATTAAATAAATGCGTACATATATGTCGAGTAGCAGGTACGTCAGTAAGTTCGCCATGATGGTGGCGCTGGGGAGGATGGCACCACTTCTAACTCGTAAATATCTATTAGATACGGCACCAAGAAATGAAAAAATAAGCCGTACCTAGTCTAGACTATTGTCTGACAGACAAAAGAAACCATGGCACTCACAAACAAACAAGACATTGAAGATTTCTGTCTTCTGGGTTGTTGCACTGAGTAGTCTGGTCGATGTTAACCGACGTTTCGGAGGTCCTACTGCCTCCGTCATCAGGGCGATGAGTATGAAGATTTCTGTCTTCTGGGTTGTTGCGCTGTGTAGTCTGGTCGATGTTAACCAACGTTTCGGAGGTCATACTGCCTCCGTCATCAGGGCGATTAAAAATATGAAGATTTCTGTCTTCTGGGTTGTTGCGGCTGTGTAGTCTCGTCGATGTTAACCAACGTTTCAGAGGTCATACTGCCTCCGTCATCAGGGCGCCCTGACCAGACTACACAGCGCAACAACCCAGAAGACGGAAATCTTCATACTCACCGCTGTGAGAACCTCATGTCTTACAAACAAGACATTCATAATGCTTTAGTTCAGTGTTTCCTTACCTGCGGTTCCCAAACCCATTAGTTTATTCTGTAATTCCTTTATTTAACTATCTTTTGTCAGCGGCAAACATGTGCTACGATTGGAATAGGCAGGGCATACAGCACGCAAGGGTGAGACTAAAAATGAACGCAAACGTTTGCTTCAAAATCCTAAAGGACAGAGATCGCTTAGAATTAATAGGCGCACACGGTATGATAATATTAAAACGGATATTACAAAAATAAACCGTAGCTGGATTCATGTGAATCAGAACACGTACCGGTGTCTGGCTCTCGTAAACACAGCAGCGAACCTTCGGATTCCACAAAGACGGATAATTTCTGGTCTAGCAGACTACTATCAGCTTCTCAAGAAAAACTCCGCTCCACGCAGCTAGTCGGTAAGTAACACGGAGTATGACGGGGACTTTGTGAATGAATTAGTTACAATGCAGAAGAAACAAGTAGTGGAATATTGAAAGTAAGTATTCTTGCATTTGTCTGAAGGGACCAAGAAAAAAATTAAATATATTTTGTCGTACAGCCGAGATTCTAACTCGGGACATCCTGAATATGAAGCACAAACGCTAATCAC